CTGGGTGTCCGGCGGAGTCCGCGAAACTTTTTTTTTAAGGAAAAAAAAATGCTAATACCTGATCTGTCTTTCGATTCATAATTACGATTGTTAGTTAAGCGGGCTGGAATTACATTTCATTTCTGTCCGCCGCTCTCAGACCGAATTTAAAATATCCCCAAGTCTGCATCAAAAAAAAAGTTTTCTCATTTAACAGTTCCACTGTAATCCGGGGTCGGTACCAATTCCCTAAATAGATCCACTACGTAGCCATTAATTAATAGCATTTCGAACCAGAAACAGTTCTAACCTTGAAACAGCAAAGAATCCTCTCATGGTTGAAATTGAAACTTAAAATCCTTTGAGTAACGATTTAACTATTCAACCAACGAAAGAAAAATGCATGTTTAAACTGCATTAACCTGTCACAGGCATACAAACAAATTTCCACGCTGAAATATAAATTATAGACTAGCAGCGAGATAAACACATTAAAATGGACTCCCACAATTTTAATAATAGAAAGTCACGTTTCCAATTAGGCAACATCTTTTATTTTTCTTTTGACAAAAATTAAAAATAAGAAAATGCAACAAATGATATAGAATTGCTCATTGTGACTGTGTGGGGGGGTGTTCTTTTTATATAATAAGGTATATGTTTAATTTTTTTTTTTTTGCATTTCTTCATTGCTTTCATTTTTTTTTTCCTCCTTTGATTTTTAAAAAATTAAAAACGCATAGAAAGGCAAGCAGGATGATTTCCAAAAATAGTCCCAGCACGGTTTTTGATGCACACAAGCTTTACTATATAGTGTTGAATTATATGCATTTTATTTGTAATTCTTCAGTACTTTTTCTTTTGGAAATTAAAAATACATATATATCAAGAATAACATATATTCGTGTAATTGCTTCCTAGAATAATCAAATGTAACTTATTTGCTTCAGGGTTTTTTAATTTATATTAAAGATTGCAGATAGAGTTGAATGTCACTTTATCTCCCTCTCCAATTCAACTTTCTCCCTCCTTGCATCCCTAGGTTATCAGCATCATAAAGAGTATATTCTTACAGCAGTTTATTGCCTAATTACTTATATGTATTTATATGTAAATATAGATTGATGCTTATGTGTTTTAAATTTTCTTTATAAATGGTACAGTAATATACATGTCATTTTGCCACTCACTTTTTCTCCTCAATATGATTTTGACAACTATCCATGTTGTTACCTATAGAATCTGCTTTATTCATCTCAGTAGTTTCAATATTATCAGCTATGTTAGTTTTATGGAGATGCCATTCTAAACCAGGTAACTGTTATAAAGTTCCTGGCCTCAAAATTTTAGACAATTAACTCAGTTTATCTACACAGGTTAAATTTGTGTCAGAGCATTCTTTACTAGCTGCTTTTCATTTTATTATTTGGAAAAAACGTACAGATCTTTAACAATGCAGAGAGTATATCACAAGCATCCATGTACCTGTCATGTAATTAGTGAATGTTAACATTTTGCCGTATCTGCTGGTCTTTTTTTTTTTTTAATTGAACTAGTCAAGATTTCTGACTAAATTGAAGTCCCTTTGTACTCCTCCCCCAAACCATTCTTCACCTTTTTCTCCAAAAGCAAACACTATCATGAATTTAGTATGTAACTTTCCAATCTAGGTTTTATACTTTTACTACACATGAAACTGTAAGAATACAGAATACTGTTTCATTTGCTTTTTCAAATATACATGTGTGGTGTTAGACTGTACGTATTCTGACTTGCTTTTTTTTTTTTTTTCTTCATGGAATGTTTTTATTCTTTATCTCCATGTGGATAAATATAAATCAGTTCATTCATTTTAATTGCTATATTGTAGATCCATGCATATAAATGTGCCCTGTTTATTCATTCCCCTATTGATGAATATTTAAGCTGCTGCCAATATTGGGGGCAATGCTAATACGAACATGCGTGTACGTGTGTCCCTTGCACATACGTGAGAATTTCTCTCTGAATCTGCCTAGATGGGGAATTGCTAGGCTACACACACAATTTCGGTTTTATTAGAGACTGCCAAATGGTTCTTCAATTTACACATCCACCAGCAGTGTGTAAGAGTTGTTTCCCTCACATCACTTTCTACATTCAGAATTTTCTAATTTCTGACAATTTGAGGTTTTGAAAACCCAGTCTCTTGTTGTTTTATTTGCATTTCCCTCACTGCTAGTGGCGTTGAGCACTTCTTCATATATTGATTTGCTATTAAGGTTTCAAGTCTGTGATTTGTTTTTTTTTACAGACCTCACCCATTTTTCCAACGGGCTGTATATGTTTTCATTTTTTTTTCCTCTTGTTTTATAGGCGTTCATACGTATAAACATTATATTATCTCAGTCTGTGGCTCGTCTTTTGACTGCTTTTGATGTCTTCGGTACTATAGAAAATGTAAAATGCAGTCAGATTCCTTGATCTCTTTATAATTTGTGTTATTTGTATCTTATGAAAGAATTCTCTGCATACCTGGTACCATAAAAATAGCATTTTTTTCCTTAATATTTTAAAGTTTTGCTCTCCACACTTATAAAGCGGATCCCTTTGGGACTTATTTTTTGAATGGTGTAAAATAGGAACTTAATTTTACTCTCCCTTTCCCTCCTTCCCAGTATGGAAAACCTGTTCTCCTGACTTGATTTACTGGACAGTCTTCCATTCCCCATTAATGTTTCATGCCACCATGATGAAAATTAAACTTTCATATATTCATGGATATGTTCCTACCTTGTCCTCTTCCACGGATCAAACCAATTCTGAGCCAATACCACACTGTTTTAATTCTTATGGCTTTATAACAAGTCTTCATGTCTAGAAGGGCTTTCCCCCTCCCCCCACCTTTGTTCATTTTTAAAACTGTACTGGCTGTTTTTGGACTTCTATTTTTCCATATTAACTTTAGCATCAGTGTGTCAACTTCCACTGAAAAACCTTTTTGGTATTTTCCCGAGTTAAATTTATAGGTTAAATTTGGGGAGATGTGATATCTTTATAAAATTGAGTCATCTAATACCTTAATATCACTCTGATTTCTTCATATCCTTCAATAACAGTTATTTATAAATAACATAGTTTATTTATAAAAACTCATGTCCTTCTTTGTTAGATGTATTCCTAGGTACCTTACGGCTTTTGTTGCTATTGTAAGTGGGATCATTTTTAAATTTTTTAATTGGTTATTGATATTGTCTGGAAATATTACTGAATTTTGGAACAATCTTGTTTTAGCAAACATACTGAATTTTCTTGCTAGTTAAATAGTTTATTTGCAGTTTCTCTTGTATTTTTATATAGATAATCATTTTATCTGTAAATAACACTCGATACCTGTCCCCTTATCTCATTGGAGGGGCTAGAACCTCCAATATAACATCAAATAGTAAGAATGACAGCAAGATTGTTTTCCTGTTCCTATCTCATTGATAATATCTCTAATGTGTCATTATTGTTCATGGTATTTGTTTTACGTTTTTGGTAGAAGCCCTTTTATCAGGTGAAGGAGTTCCCTTCTGTCCCAGTTGAGTTCAAAGTAGGAATATTTTAAAACCATGCAATGAATACTGAATTTTATTAAATGCTTTTTCTAAAACTATTGAGATGATCATAGGTCTTTGTGATGTTAACGTAATGGGTCACGGATGGATTTTTAGAATATGGACCTATCCTTGCATTCTTTGAGATATACCTTGTTTTGCTATAATGTACTATTGGTTTTTTATACACTCCACATAACTTATGAATTCTTTTTTATTTTAGCACCTCTGCTCATAAGTGATTTGGGCTTATAATTTTCTTTTCTTGCACTGCCTTTGTCCATATTTGGTATCAGTGTTATACTGTCCTCATAAAATGCATTTGGAAATATCCCTTTTTGCATTTTCTATAACAGTTCATATGAGATAGGTATTATTTGTTCCTTGAGTGTTTGGAAAATCTCATCTGTGAAACTATGGTATTTTGAAAATTCAACTCAAT